CTCCGCTTCGTCCACGGTGAAACCCGATCTGGCGATCCACAGCGCGAAGTTCATCCACTTATGGGTTTTGGCCTCAATAAAAGACAAAGTCCTTTCATTTTACATTATCATCTAATTTACACAAAGCAGTCTGTGCTATTTCTGAATAATAACATTTGGCAGAACATCAAGTTATATAGCCTTAAAGGAAATATCAAGAAATAAAAGTGATACGAGTTATCTGAGATTCCAGTTTATTCTTCAGTGCAAATGACTAATTGTTTACTGAAATATCTAACAAGTACCTTAATCGCAATAATAAAAATGAACAATTAAATTTTTTTAAGCTACTTTAAGTCACATTAATAAAGACAAGGTAACATTTCAGCTTATAGCCACTAAATTCAAATAATAGTGAATGGTTTATAAGAATAATGTTGACCTTATCCTAGTTTATTTATAAGCCTGTCTGTCAGTCCTGTGTCTAGAAAAGACACAACACATAAATATAACATTTAAAGAAAAGGCTCAGATTCATTTATATATTTTGTCTGCTCTTTCTTTTGATGAAATAGTAGCAAAACACAAATATTTACAATAAACATTCTGCAAAATAATCTTTAGTCCCAAGATTGAAATCGCTTTCTCCCAGCCATTTCTGTTTCTCCTAATCCATTATTTTTCAGTTCATATAGTTTGCAAATAGATTTAAGAAAGAATGCAAGTATGTCATCACCGTCTGTTACATTTCAAATGCTAAACACTCTGTTAACTCAAGACATCTCCGGTGAAATATTTAAACTCATAGAAATCACCATGCTTCCCCTATTGATTAGTCACAGTACATTTAGACAATTGTTTTGAATTACAACATTTCTGTAATTTTATGTTTAAATATGCAACTGAGGCATTATCTAAATAAATATGCACTGATTTGCAAACATTTCCAGAACAGAAATCTGAACATTGGATAAAGCCAGTTTCACAATTCTTGTTTCATGTTGTTGATATATTAGAGTCAACGATTTTTGCAGAGGGGATATGTATTATAATACATATTTTTAAATCAGAAAATACTTTCAACAGCCAGAAAAAAAT